ACATGGATGAATCTGGAGGGCACTATGCTGAGTGAAATATGTCAGTCACAAAAGGGCAAATATTATATGAGACCACTATTATAAGAACTCAAAAAAAGCTTTACACACAGAAAAAAGCATTCTTTGATGGTTACTAGGGTGGGGACGGAGAGGGAAGAGAAATCACTAACTAGATAGTAGACAAGTGTCAACTTTGGTGAAGGGAAGGACAACACACAATATAGGAGAAGTCAGCACAACTGGACCAAAGCAAAAGCAGTTTCCTAGACACCTCCAAACACTTTAGGGACAAGGTAGCTGGGGCTGGGGCTGGGGCCTGGAGACCATAGTTTCAGAGGACATCTAGGTCAACTGGAATAACACAGTTTATAAGGAAATGTTCTACAACCCACTTTGGTGAGTAGCGTCTGGGTTCTCAAAAGCTTGCGAGCCATCTAAGATACATCTATTGGTTCCATCCCACCTGGAGCAAAGGAGAATAATGAAAACCAAAGACACAAGGAAAATACTAGCCCAAAAGACTAATGGACCAAAGGACCAAAGGAATCAGAGACTCCACCAGCCTGAGACCAGAAGAACTGGATGGTGTCCAGCTACCACCAATGACCGCCCTGACAGGGAACACAACAGAGAGTCCGAGACAGAACAGGAGAAAAATGTAGAACAGAATTCAGGTCTACATATAAAAGGCCAGACTTAATGGTCTGACAGAGACTGGAGGAACGCCCGAAAGTATGGCCCCCGGATGCTCTGTTAACCCGGAACTGAAACCATTCCTGAAGCCCACTCTTCAGACAAAGATTAGATAGGACTATAAAACAAAAAATAATACACATAAGGAACGTGTTTCTTAGTTCATTCAAATTTATGAGACCAAATGGGCAACTCCTGTCCAAAAGCAGGATGAGAAAGCAGGAAGGGACAGAAACTGGATGAATGGACTCAGGGAACCCAGGATGGAAAGGTGGAGCATGCTGTCACACTGTGGGGATTGCAACCAATGTCACAAAACAATATGTATACATTTTTGAATGAGAAATTAACCTGAGCTGTAAACTTTCAACTAAAGCACAATTTTTTAAAAAAATGGGGACACTGTAACTCTGTGATCTTGGGCCAAGTTACTCTTTGACCATTAATTTCTTCACCTGTACAATAGAAATGATAATGCTTTGTCTACTTCACAGGAGCATTGTGAATGTGCAATGAAACAACTTTATGTGAAAAAGTTTTGTGAACTCTAAGTCAAATCCTATGTATTTTATTAGGATTTATAAAATCAGCTTATATCTACCACCCATTGGGAGTAAGAAGCCCAGGTGGTACAGTGGGTAAAGCACTCGGCTGCTCACCAAAAGGTCAGCAGTTCAAACCCACCACCCAATCCGCAGGAGAAAGGTGTGGCAGTCTGCTGCCATACAGATTACAGCCTTGGAAACTCTACAGGGCAGTTCCAGTCTGTCCTACAGGGTCGCTATGAGTTGGAATCAACTTGTTGGCAATGGATTTGGTTTTGATCATCGTGAGTAGCATCAGGAATTCGTGATGTGTCTAAACTAGACTCATCTTCTCCTTTAAAACCAGCTCCTCCTTCAGATGTTCCTATTTATGCTGATGGCACCCCACTCTCCCAGGCATCCAAGCTTAGAAACTTGGGTTGTAGTAGAAACCTTGCTCATCCATCCTTCTGATCCAAGAATGATCTGTTCCTTTCAAAATATGAATCTGTTCAGGTCAACTCCTTGCTTAAGACTCACTGGCAATTTCCAATTGTTCTTGGGGAAAAGATCAAAACATGTTAAGTCATCCCTTCGGCTCTGCAGAGTCTGGCCCTTACCTATCTCCCCAGCCTCAACGCACAGGCTCTCCTCCTCTGTGCTCTGCACTCCAGCCACGCTGGCTTCTTCCCATTCCTCCAAAGAACTGTTCCCTCCAGCTACAGTTTTGCACCTGCTGTTCCCTTTGCTAAAACCGACACCCCAGTTGTCCTTCTGTTGTTACTCAAGCTCCACGTCCTCGGCAAGGCCATCCCAGACTCCCTGGCATTGCCCAAGTTCTAATGTAATGGGAGTGCATAGAAACATAACCCCTCCCTTTTTGTTTCTTGGAGCACTTATTACGGTTTGAAATTATATGTTGTTATGCAAAGTTTCTAATCCCCCTAAACCATTAAGTTCATGAGAGCAGTGATCCTGTTTTTACTTCAACATTGTAATTGCAATGCCTAGTACATAGTACCAAACCAAAAAACCAAACCCATAACCGTCAAGTCAATTCTGACCCATAGCAACTCTATAGGGCAGAACAGAACTGCCCCATAGGGTTTCCAAGGAGCAGCTGGTGGATTCAAACTGCTTTTGGTTAGCAGCCAAGTTCTTAACCACTACGCCATGAGGGCTCCATGGTTACTCAAAAATACTTTTAAAACGAACAAGTAAATCAATTAATCTTGGGATCCTCTCTTCAGCATCTATACTTTTCTTTTTAATTAAATAAATTTTATATGGGAAGAGGAAAGGGAGCTTAATAAATGTCTGACATGTGTTAAACACTGAAATACGTGCTTTGTATTTATCTCATTTACTCATCATAAAATCCTACCAGATTGTACTAGTTTTCTACAGCGGCTATAACAAAATTAGTGGCTTAAAGCAATACAAATTTATTATCTTACAGTTCTGTAGGTCAGAGGTCTGATGTGGGTTTTACTCGGCTATAATTAAGGTGCAAGTAGAGCTGAATTCTTTTCTGGAAGCTCTAGGGGATAATCTGTTTCCTTGTCTTTTCTAGCTTTTAGAAGCCATCTGCATTCCTTGGCTTGTGTGTGGCCCTCTTCCTCCATCTTCAAAGTCAGCAATGTGGCATCTCTCTGACCATTCTTGCATAGTCACATTTTCTTCTGACCTTGACCTCAGCTGGGAAAGGTTCTCCACCTTTAAGGGTTCATGTGATTAAACTAAACCCACCTGGATAATCCAGGATAATTTCCCCATCTCCACAACCTTAACCTCAATCACATCTACAAACTTCCTTTTTCCATGTAAGGTATGCATAGGTTCCAGGGATTAGGACATGGATGTCTTTATTCTGCCTCCCAAACAGATTATTTATCCTTTTTACAAATGGGGAAACTCAAGGGTTAAGTATTATACCACTGGTAGATGGGGGAGGCAAGATTCAAATTATTTCTGGTAATCTGGAAAGTATATAAGTCAATCTCTAAAATGATAACCTCTCCGTTTTATTAAATATTTTATAATTGAGATAGCATGATGAAACATTTCTGAGAAAGTATACTAGGAGTAACATAGATGGAGTTTATAAGAATAATGTAAATTTATCATTAAGTAAAGGTGCCCTGGTGGCACATAATTTGCTGCTTGGGTTATAGTTTGGAAATACAATAAAAGCATATTATGAAGCACCCAGTTCTGCCAGGAATGTAATTACACTGAGAATTAACAGAGGATTTGCAGTTGTTTGACTTCTGTTCCAATCCCAGCTCTGCAGCACTGGCTGCACGTGCTCTCGGCCTCTTTGACACTGTCAGGTGGGGATACCGTCATCTGTGCTGTTTGCTTCAGGGGCTTGGTAATATTATAATAACTAACATGGGTTGGGTGTTACTATGTGGCCAAGCACACTGCTGAGTATTTCATTCAATCACAACAACAATATGAATGAGGGACTGTTTTTATGTATTCATTTTACAGGTGAGGAAACGGGCTGAACGGGGATTCAAACTCAGGTCTGCAGGACTCCCAAGGTCACTCTCTTATCTATTGTCCTCTATTACCTCACTAATATGAGGGTAAGTAGAATAATGCAAAGAGAATTTACAAAGGACTACAAATAGGCAGAACAAAATATTTAGGGGTACAAAATTTTAAAAAATGTGGTTTTCATTCCAGATCAGCCTTGGGTACATTCCCCGTGTGCCAGTGAGGCAACCAAGCTGCTCAGGCCTGGCTTGCACTCAACACGTTTAACACTAAGCTCCTTCCAAGCAGTTCCCTTTTTAATACCCATAAAATGAAGAAGAAAAACAACAAAATACGTCCCTCAAGAGTATTCGGTATACATACTTGTTTTTGTGTTTGAATTTTTCCGGAAAAAATATTTCAAAAGTAGGACAAGAGAGTGAAATGGAAATTAAAATAGACACCAGAGTTATTATTCTTTTACCGTATGATAAATACTATACTGAGAGTGGCACCGTTCCCTTCCATAGATTTCCGCTAAACTGCCATATGGAAAGAGAGAGGGGAGAGCAGGAAGCATTTAAGTACATGCGATATGGAAATAAATGGGTGAAGGGCTTTAAATTCTGCTTTTCATCTTCCCCTGCATCAAAGGAAAGGCTTTCAGAGACTCCCGTGATGTTTGATGAAGTTCACTCTGAAAGCAGATTGCACAGCGAGGCAGATGAGAGCATTTAAATTGAGCATTTTCCACCACTTGCACGGTCTACTTAATGATACCCAGCAAAACCCAATCCATTGCTGTCGATTTGATTCCAATTCATAATGAGCCTGTAGGATAGTACAGAACTGCCGCATAGGGTTTCCATGGCCGTAATCTTTACGGAAGCAGACTGCCACATCTTTCTCCTGCAGAGTGGCTGGTGAATTTGAACTGCTGACCTTTCGGTTAGCAGCCTGAGAAAGTAGCCCCGGTGGTGCAGTGGTCAAGCGCTCAGCTGCTAACCCAAAGGTTGGTGGTTGGAACCCACCAAACGCTCCGCAGGAGAAAGATGTGGCAGTCTGCTTCCATAAAGATTTCAGCCTTGGAAACCCTGTGGGGCAGTTCTACTCTGTCCTATAGGGTCACTATGAGTCAGAATCAATGGGATGGCAATGGGGTATAACATCCAGAACTGTGAGAGAATAAGTTTCTGTTGTCGTAAGCCACCTCATTTTTGGTCATTTGTGAAGGCAGCCCTAGGAAACCAAGACACCCAGTTATGCAATCCTGGGCATTCACAGACACGGGAGACTCACTTGGATTTTCTCATCCTCAGGGGTTGGTGCTGGTCTAGATCCCGGTTCCTTCTCCTCGATCACTCTCTCCAGGCTGTGCTGAGTGTCCCAGTTATTTGGTGCTTGTAGATCACAGTGCTGTGATTTTGTGTCCAAGCTATTGGTGAACTCGTTGGCTTGAGTTTTTCTGAACAGAAACAAAAGTGAAATTATCAAAAAACATTCTTCAACATTGACAGCTTTTCTGATGCAGACGTCTACATTCAAAATACCTGAAAAATATAACAGATACCATGTACCAAGTGCTTGTACTATACCAGCCCCTTTGCTAGGCACTCTAAAGATAGTAACGTGATCCTCATAACACCTCTACAAGGAAGGCATTGTTATTTTTGTTTTAAGAAGTTCAAATATATAATTTTTCTAAGACCATGTAGTGGCACAGTCAGAATTTGAATCCAGGTCTTTCCAACTCCTAACTCAGGTGCTAAACTGTTAGATCAAATTGCCTACGATCAGAGTCAGCAAATAATTCCTTTCTACTTCTATGCCTGTTTATACTGTTACAAGTACAGAAGCTGGTGAGCAGCATCACCAGCCCTCAAGAACCGAGCTGAGGACCACGTGTCTATTCAATCTCCATCCCAGCACAGACCACTAGCTCAGGGGAGGGCTGTCAGCACCACTGCCCAAAGCCAGAGGAGGACACCCAAGAGAAAGCAGGCCTGCAGAGGCCACCATGGGCACACAGCAGAAGAAATCCATCATCTGCCTTGAGTTACCTTCCTATATCTTTAATCGATATGTCACTCCCCTATTCACAATCTTCCTTACTCTCCAAACAGTAAGGTCCAAACTCCTAAATCTGGCCTTCAGGGCATTTTACAGTGTGGTTCCTTGTCTCCCTTTTCTAACCCATGCCTGCCCCAAACACTCAGAACAACTCATCATTCCCCAAACAACCTCACATGTTCAAGTCGAGAGATCTTAATTATGCCGGGCCTTCTGCCTGCAATTTCCTTCCTGACCTTCTGTAGCTGGAGAACTGTACTTATCTTTCAAGGTTTGGCTCCAATTTCACTCTTGTGTATCAGAATGTTTGGCTCCTACCTGCTCTCAGTTGATGCTCTGCTTATACCGTAATAACAGCACTTTGCACGGCTTGTATTGGCTGCAGTTAGTTGTATATCTGCTTGTCTCTCTTCCTGGACTGTAAGCTCCCTGTTCATCTTTGCACTGCCAGTACCTACCACAGCGTTGTGGTGGTGGTTGTTGGTTGCCATTGAGTCAATTCCAACTCCTGGCGACCCCAGGTTTGTCAGAGTAGTACTGTACTCTATAGGGTTTTCAATGGCTGATTTTTTGGAGGTAGATTGCCAGGCCTTTCTTCTGAGGCACCTCTGGGTGGACTCAAACCACCAAGCAAAGGGTCTACTTGTTCTTCTCCCCATATCTAAGCAATCTTCTGCGAAGACCTGAAGCGTGAGAAATCACTGCAATTTAACAGTTCTGACTTGTATTTCTCAGGCTCAACTGTGCTGGCCTGCATTGCTTTAAAATGACTCTAGTGAAGTCAGTGATAATCACTGGGGAATTGCATACACATACAGATCACTGGAATGACAGTGGGAATATGAAATAGCTGATTTGGTAGCACTGTGGGAATGAAGGGAATCACCAAAAACATAGAGAACTTTCTAAACAGATCTAAAATGATGCTTGTGACCTCAGATCCCACCACACTCCCCCACTGGATACCATGTACAAGAAGCATCCTTCCTTTTTTTTTCTTTTTTTTTTGCTTCATTCTCTCGTTGGTTTGCGGGTCTCATACCTGAGCTCTTCTGCTTCCTGCTCTGTTTTCAGCCGGGCCCTCTCAGCAATAATTTCATTGCAGAGCACATCGTAGGGTTTATCGAGATGGTGTTCACCCATCACCCAGACCCACACTTCCTTATCAGCTCCCAGTTTCCAATGAACAGATTTGTCATTCTCTGCAAACAAAATACAGCTCAGATTGAACTGATATCTTTAGCCATGGGTTACTATCTTTCCCATTGCTGAAGTATTTAAGGTCTTTGGGGGAAAAAAAATTAAATGAGGCAAAACACTACATCGTTTGTTTCACTTCCAACCAGTTTAGGAGCGAGCAGCATTAATAGGTGGCAGTGGTAGCGATGGCAGCAGGCAGTGGCTGCAGCAGTAATATTTGTTTTAAAAATACTATGGACTTGGTTCTTACACATGCCCATTTGGTAAGTGAAGAAGCTGAGATAGGAAGAAAGCATGCATTGTTTGCATTGTCCTTTGAGGTAACAGAGCTAACATGAGACCCCATAACCACTTAAGTCGACGTCTAAGAATCTCCCTGTAACCCAAAGTTCCATAGCTGCTCAGGGCTTGGCCTTTCCACTATCTTTACAGGCTTCACTGGACGGTAAAAGCACGCATTTTAGACTGGCCATAGTTCAAATCCTAGCTCTGCCACTTACCAGCTGTGTGACTTGGACAAATTACTTAACCTCTCAAAGCCTCGATTTCCTCATTTGAAAAATGGGTAACGATATCTACTCTATAGGAGTAAGGAGCCTTGGTGGCACAAATGGTTGAGCGCTCGGCTGCTCACCAGAAGGTTTGCAGTTAGAACCCACCCATCGGCTCCATGGAAGAAAGACCTGGCGATCTGCTTCCGTAGAGATTACAGCCAAGAAAACCCTATGGAGCAGTTCTACTCTGCTTACATAGGGTGGCTATGAGTTGGAATTGACTTGACAGCACCTAACAATGACAAACAGAGTCTAGAAATTTAAAAAAGCGGGGAGAGATGGGAGTAAGGTGAAGATAAAGAAATCGCGACTCTCAGCCAAGAAGAAACAAAATTACATGCAAAATGTCAGATTTAGCCAGATGTCAAAACAAATGGGCTCTTGGCAGAGTGGCACTTACAATATCTCTGTTCAAACTCCTCTTCCCCGCCCCCCGCCCCGCAACAACAACAACAACAAAAAAAGACAGTTGTTGTCGATTCCGATTCATGGCAACCCTATGTGTGTCAAAGTAGAATTGTGCTGACTTTTTGAAAGTAGATCTCCAGGCCTTTCTTCTGAGGTGCTTCTGGGCAAACCTTCAACCTTTCAACCTTTCAGTTAGCAGCTAAGCACATTAACGGTTTGCACCACCCAAAGACTCCTCTCCTCTCTCCCAAAAGCGCTTAAATGGGGTCAGAAGGCAGAGAGATTGGAGGGGCTTTAAGTGGTTGGACACAACTCTCTAAAGGATTCTGATCACTAAATAACTCAACACAGAAGGAGACCGTGGAGAATGCACTGCCATGCAGCCGAGAGAGGAAAAGGGAGACGACACAGCTAAATGCTTCTGAGATGGAGGAAAAAGGATAAAGACCAAGATGGAAAAGGAGAAAAGTCTTAGGCAGGCTCTGAGTAATTTTAGGGAGACAGGTGGGAGACAGACTACAAAGGCAGAGGACAGAAAGGATGGTAAGAAGCAGTGGAGGCAGTAAGTACATGCTCTAGAGAAGTTTATTAGTGAAGAGGAAAAAAGAGAGAACTCAGTCATTTGCCCCACAATATTTACTGAGCATCTGCTATGTTCTGGAGCTGCTATACAGGTCTACACAGAGGAAAAACTAGTTTAAGAGCCCAGACAGTTCAAAGACACCCTTAAATAGGGACACATGGGCAGGTTTTACACCTGGATTATTAGAAGAGGAGAGAGAAAAGGATGCCAGGGACCAGGCCAGGGGAACGATAGTCCCTGGAGAAGAGCAGAGAATAGATGAAGACAGAAAGACAAGGAGAGAAAAAACCTTGTCTTATAAAAGGAAAGTTGAAAATATATGTATAGAACCACATTGCTGCCCTCAATGTACCCCCTTAAGGTAAAGGTATAAACTAAAGGGATTCTAAGAGGGCATCCATTGTCATAATTAACACCATCCAGGCGTTCTGGGTTTCCTGTCTACTTCACCTTGAAATTATGTGCACTCTTTAATCAGAGGACAGTGAAGGATGTATCTTTTCATAGCACTTCCATTTAATTATACATCCCCTTCCTTCCTGTCCCCATCCTTCAATCATGTTTATGTACTGCTTGTTCTTCTTGAGAAGTGCTTCATTCTTGAAGCCTTCTTCTGAAACCAGCTTTTTTTAAAACAAGCTAGAAAAAGTGGGTCAGTCTGGCTCAAGTACTAGACCACAAAGAATCGCTAGGACAGAGACACATAACCACACCTCATTCCACAGGGGCCACATAGAAAACATCTAACCAGGCAGTAAGGAGCCCTCGTGGCACAGTTAAGTGCTTGGCTGTTAACCAAAAAGTTCGTGGTTCAAACCTAGCCAGCACACCACGGGAGAAAGACCTGGCTGTCTGCTTCCATAAAGATTACAGGCAAGAAAGTGCTATGGGGCAGTTCTACTCCGTCACATGGGGTCCCTACGAGTTGAAATTGACTCAATGGCACCCAACAATAATCAGGCAGTGTTCAAAAAGACCACGTAAAAGATCGGGCGACACACATCCTTGGCAAGGAAATGGCCAGGTTTATTCCATTCTTATATGATAGTGTGAACCTGCTCGCCACACCTTCGTGCCTGATGTATCCCGCCGTGGTAGGTTAGAGTAGAGGTGGAGGGGGTAGGAACTTGAAGCATCAATGTGGATCATCTGCTCAGGTAGAGGTGAATGCTAACTCCAATGGCCCTCCCAGGGCAAAGACACTGCACTTCAAGAGTCAGCACCTAGTCTCCACCCCACCTGAATCCAACTCAGAAGGACAACCACAGTAACAGAAAAGATATGTCTGTGAGAGAGCCTGAAAGAGGGAGGGAGAAAATTATCATGTACTCTACCCTCACAAACAGAGGACCTACAAATAAGTGAACAGAAGCCAGAAGAGAATCAATGTCAGGAGCCTTCTATGGTGCTCCAGGGACTGGGTAAAGAATTTCCAGATTAAATACAATGGGGGTATCATCAGGGCTGATGTAAGCAGGGATCCACCAATACTAAGACTGTTAAAATACTGGAATACTTTCAAACTGCTGCCCCAACGCCCCAAGTATCTTCCACCACTCTGGTCTCTCCTATAGGACACCGCGTCCCTGACCAGAAACCATAAGAGATGAATGCATGCAGGGGACCTCCAAGACTCTGGTGCTCTGGCCATGTCCGTTCTAATTGGTTGATGCCCATGCCATACCTGTCATCAGACCCCAGGTTACTACTAACCCTATTTTACAATGAGGAAGTTGAGGGTCAAGGGTGTTAAGGAACTTATCCAAGATCATAGAGTTAGTGAATAATGGAACTAGAGCTTAAAAACAGTCTGCATGGCTCCAAAACCTATCTTTAGGGCAGCCTTATAATGTGTCCACACTGAAACACATTTTGAGAGCGAAAAGACAGCAACCAGAAGGAATGCCAGGACAGCAAGTATAAGCCAGAGCTCTCTTAAACAAACTTGGAAGTATCATCACCGTCATGATCTTTCCTGCTCCCACAGAAACAGGATAGGGGCTACAACTTTCAGTACAGATAACACCTGAACATGAAGAAAACCAGAATCCTCACAACTGTACTGATAAACAGCATCGTGACAAATGGAGAAGAAAGTGAAGTTGTCAAGGATTTCATTCTAATTAGATCAATAATCAACACTCATAGAAACATCAGTCAGGAAATCAAATGGCATGTGCATTGGGCAAATCTGCTGCAAAAGACCTCTTAGAAGTTTTAAAAAGCAAAGATGTCACTTTGATGACTAAGATGCGCCTGACCCAAGCCATGGTCTTTTTGATCACCTCATATGCATGTGAAAGCTGGACCATGAAAAAGAAAGACAGAAGAACAAATGAAGCAGAAGAATGGTGCTGGCAGAGAATACTGAATATACCGATGACTGCCAGAAAAACAAACAAAACAGTCTTTGAAAAAATACAACCATAACACTCCTTAGAAGCATAGATAGTGAGACTTCTGCTGGCTTACTTTAGACACATCATCAGGAAAGACCAATCTCTAGAAAATGACAATATGTTTGGTAAAGCAGAGTCAACAAAAATGAGGGAAACCCTCAATGAGGTGGACTGACACAAGAGCAGTGAGACTTCAGCTGGCTTACTTTAGACATATCATCAGGAAAGACCAATCTCTAGAAAATGACATTATGTTTGGTAAAGCAGAGTCAACAAAAATGAGGGAAACCCTCAATGAGGTGGACTGACACAGAGCTACAACGGACTCGAACACCAACGATCATAAAGATGGCGCCGGGCAATGTTTCATCCTCTTATACACAAGGTTATCATGAGTCGGAGCCAACTGGATGGCAACTAACAACAACAACAAGCCCCATGTCCATCTGAATAATGACCAAGGCCAATTCCTATCAGGACGTCCTGAAATTATAACTGTTGCTTTCTCCATTGTTTGCTATTTTTGTTAACCTGGGTAATAATCTTGCAGTTATTAACACTAAAGTCTATCCTTATGTTTGTTTTAGAGACAAAAGGACAGAAAGGAAGTTGGGGAACCTGCAGTGCACTATAGTCCTGGGAAGTGGGTGGTAGTATAAGAAAGAGAGAAATTCAGTCAGAAAAGCAGAAATGGATGCACTGAAATAGAGGAGACCAGCTGAATCCATGGGGACCAAGAAAGGCTGAAAGGAAAGAAGACCTTGGTTATTATCCATAAACAGACACCCACCATGTATCTACAAAGCCAAATCCAGTTAAATTATAAGGTGCAGAGTCAGGGACACAGACATTCAAGCAGGAGAAAAGGAGGTCAGGACAAATGATTCAGAACATAGCCTTAGAGTTGAGGGGGACCCGAGTTCAAATCCTGGCTCTACCATGACTCATACAGCTGATATATCTAAAAGTCTGTTTCCTTATTTGTAAGCTAGGGATAACATTGTCTGATAATGTTGTCTGATTTAGTCCTCACCCCACTCTTGGGAGGATTTAAATTAAATAACATAAATACAATGCTTATGCTTGACACACACTCACGGACCAACACAATGATGGTTGTCACTGTTTTTACTTTGGTGGGATAAAAGCTCTATGGAATGGAGGAAAAGAACTAAAACCTATGGGATTCGGTGACTACGTGAGTGGGTGACAGACAGGGAGTAATGAGGGTGGCTCTCGGGTTTCTGGCCTCAGTGACTAGGGAGAGACAAGTGCCAATGATCCTGACAGAGAATGAGAGGCAGGGTCTGCCGGGGGGAAGAGAGGTGGGGTGATGCTGATGAATTCAGCTTTGCATCGAGCTTGCAGTGCTTGTGTGTCTTCTGAGTGAGATGTTCTTCAGGCAACTGACATTAAGTCTGAAGCTTAGGCAAGAGGCCTGGTTTGGCAATGTGGGTTTGTGAGTCACTCACATATAGGTAATGTTTAATCTTCAAAGATAAAAAGCTTCCCCAGGGAGATAATACAAGCAGAGATCTTTAACCTGCTGTTGTTGGGTGCTGTTAAGTCGATTCTGACTCATAGTGACCCCATATGACAGAGCAGAACTGCCCCATAGAGTTTTCTAGGCTGTAATCTTTATGGGAGCAGATTGCCAGGTCTTTCTCCCGCAGAACCACTGGGTGGGTTTGAACCATTAATCTTTCAGTTAGCCACCGAGTCCTTAACCGTTGTACCACCAGGGCTCCCTAACCTTAAACTACGGTCTATGAATTCCCAAGGAGCCTGAGAATGAGCTTGAGGGAGTCTGTGAACATTGTGAAATTATACACAAAAGGTTGCAGGCATTTTCCTAGGTCCACGCTGTCAGTAAATTTTCAAAGGAGTCTATGAGCCCCCTAACCCCGCCCTAAGATTACACCAGTGTACAGTGAGGCACCCTCTGGAGAAGACAGACATTTAAGGGGTAGGCAGAGATGAGAGACAAAAAAGAAGGTCAGGGAGCAAGCAAGAGAACTGACGCCAAGACAGAGAGAGACAGCTCTCCATGGTGTCAGATGCGGCTGAGGAGTAGTCAATTCAGAGGAGAACTCTGAATCCAGAGTCCCTGCAGGTGGGTTGAAGAGTAAAGGGATGGGAGGAAGGAGAGTCTGCAGGGGCACAAACCAACGGCTTTATCATTATTTCATGAAAAGAAAAGGCTCTGAGGAAACAAACTTGGCTGCTAACAATGAGAATCCAGCAAATGAAATGTCACGACTCCAAGATTGTTTCAAGGGGACAAAGCAAAGCCAGCCCCTCCTGTACCACACACTGTGACCAGATCCAGGCTTTTGTCATTAGGTGTCCCACAGTTTGAAAGACAACCAGTGAACAGGGCTGGGCAACTCTTACTAAGGGAAGGTCTCCTCTGTTTGTGTTACGGATAAAATAATGCAGAACACAGGCTCAAAGCAAGCATGCTTTTTTGATGTGTGCAAGGCACTTTCAGACAATAGAAATTGTTATTAAGCTCCAATTAAGCTTGGCAGGTAATATATCTGTTAATAGTACAAGCTTTGAGAGCATCGGACCCCGGATCTAGCTTCATCACTCCCTAGCTGTATGCCCTGGGCAAATCAGTTAATGTCTCTGAACCTCACTTTCCCCTTCTGTAAAACGTGAATAGTAGTTCATGGCTCAGGGTATGGTTGTGATTATTTAATGAGACCATATATTTAAGCACTTAGCTCCAGGTCTAACACACAGTAAGCTCCATAAATGCTGGCTGGGGTGAACATCACACTCTAGAGCAATACTGTCCAAAGCTGAGCCACTAGTGTAATTATAAATTTCCTAGCAGCCACAATAAAAAGTAAAAAGAACAGGTGAAACTAATTCTAATAATACATTTTATTTTACCCAATAAATCAAAAATATTATCCTTTCACTCTATGATCAACGTAAATTTATCAATGTAATATTTTACATTGTTTTCTTCCTATGAAGTCTTGGGAATCTGGTAATTTACACTCAGAGCACACCTCAATTTGGAGTGGCCATATTTCATGTGTACAATAGCCACATGTGGCCAGTGGCTACTGTACTGTATAGGACAGAGGGGGGCTAGACTTCTACTCATCCGCCAGCACGCACAGTAGATCCATAATTCTCTCCCTCTCTAGGAATCACATTTCCCCACCACACTTTGAAATGCTTTTCTGATCTGTTACTGGGTTAAATCCATACTTCTGGCTGTTTTCCAGCCCCTCCTATTTTAACTTGAAGATTACTAAAAGGCAGACGACAGTTCCTGGGATACACCGTGTACAAACACTAGCGATGCTCTCTGAAAACTCACCACCAAAACACACAAAACCAAACCCGTTGGCATTGAGTGGATGCTGAGTCAACCACCCCATGGTTAGAGTAGAACTGCTCCATAGGGTTTTCTTGGCTGTGATCTTTACAGAAGCTGATCGCCAGGCCTTTCTTCTGTGACACTGCTGTGTGGGTTTGAACGGCCAACCTTTAGGTTAGTAGTAGAGTGCAAACCATTTGTGCTGCCCAGGAGACCCACAGTGGTCTGTATATTTATAGAAAAAAAATGACCAGATGACAATGAGATAATTGCTAAGTGGTGAGCTAGAATGGTGTGAAGGTATAAATAAGATTAAATAAGACATACTTAATGAGCCAAGAGAAGGTCGATCGCCAAAGGCACAGGCTGGCTAAGAATTGCTGAGAATAACAAAACCAAACCCACTGCCGTCGAGTCGATTCTGACTCATAGCAACCCTACAGGGCAGAGCAAAACTGCCCCATAGGGTTTCCAAGGAGCAGCTGGTGGATTTGAACTGCAAACCTTTTGGTAGCAGCCAAGCTCTCCACCACTGTACCACCAGGGCTCCTGCTGAGAGTAGATGCACTTCAATCAACCTGATACATGCCAGCGGGGAGGGGAGGGGAGAGGGCAGGGAGCACAGGTCTAAAAAGCCCATGCACACAGTCAGGTCTTAACAAATAATAGCCACAGGTTTAGTAGCTCGGCAGCACAGATAGCACCTCGGGTTAGCACCAGTCATTGTAACCAACACCTTGTACTATCTGTGGCTTTATCCTCAAAGACAGAGCAAGGTAAAAGACAGAGAAGTGCTATCTTTTTAAGGGAGTGGGACAAAGCTCTCAAACCTTTTCCTCAAAAGAGGAACTATGTAATCTAGTGCAAAATATATTTTTCCAAGTGTTAAATTTAAGGGGGTAATAACCCTATGACACGATACCCTGATAGAACTTTTGCATTGTAAATTAATGTACCTTTTCATGATTATATAAATTATGAAGTAATACAAGTTTTCTGAGAAGTAGATTCAAAACTCTGCAAAGGAAGGACTTAAGCCAAAAGAAAAAAAAGACAGAAATTAAAGTCTTGTTTAAAAAATTACAAGGAGACCAATTCAGCAAACAAAGAAGCCTAGAGAAAGATGTTCCATAAAGATTTACAGCCTTGGAAACTCTATGGGGTAGTTCTACTCTGTCCTATAGGGTCGCCATGAGTTGGAATAGATTCAACAGCAGTGGGTTTGGTTTTTTTGGTTATACAGCCGTATTTGCATTTTAAGGGAGGGTTTTCCTAAAAACGATAACTCAAAGAAAAATCTCACGAGGTCTAAGAAACGCTGACACAATTGTTATAAAGATGCTGATACAAGAACTCTGCATGCTGGCAGAATAGTAGGCATCTGTGACAACGAAGGAGCTAGAAACCTTCCTAAATACCCCTTAAATTAAACCTCATAAATGACATTTTATTTCAGCTTCAGGTCAGTCTGGTTTCAAGTAAGAGATCTGCTTAAGGCTCTATAACGCCATGTAACTGCTATGTGTATGTAGACTTCAAGTTGACAAACTGCACCATTAGAATCTCAGTAACATTGAAGATCAATCTACCAAATTGGAACTGCACCTGGCTTGCTTGTGACTAGTGTGAAATGTTAAAACCAGCCAGGAGCTATTCTACTAGCATATTCACAGGAGAGACGAGGCTAAGTTTACCTTTCTTTGGTCTGGGTTTCACTGGCAAGGACTCCTTTTCCATTGCTGCTTCTCTTTCTTCCCATCGTCGGATCTGTTCTTCCCTCATCTTGAAGAACAGGATCTGTTTCTGTTCTTCGCTGAGCTCTGCCAGTAGATCAGGATCTATGTACATCTCTGACAGTATCTGTTTCAGCATCTTTGTAGTTTCTGCAGTCTTTGACACCTGTGACAAAAGTGCCTGAAAATGGCTTCCAGGTGTGCCTCCACCTGAGCTGGCACCTGGTCGTGACCAAAAACCTTCAAGGAGACTCACAGCCCAGAGATCCTGACTGACTGGGGCAAGAATTCAGCAAACTGGCTTCTGGGGCCTGGCACCAAATATCCTGCCCAAAGTGTCATCCACCAATCCTGCAAAGAGCAACAGGCAAAAAACAGGGCTATTAAAATACGTAGGTGCTGCTAAGAGCGGGCTTATAAGGAGAATAAAGCTTAGAGGAAATGTAGTATCCCTTTTCATTCCAGGGAAAAGAAGAGAAAGGCTGAGGCACGCTTTATTAAAAGTTTGTGTAACCTCTATCCGGTAATGTCCAAAGATAATTTATCAAAAAAAAAAAAAAAAAACAACAAAACCCTAACTTTATACTGGTCAGTCTCAGGGAAACAAAACAATTAACAGAGGTTTAGCGTTCTCCCAGCTAAGCAAACTTTATTATTACCTCAGAGTCCAACAAACCACCAATTATATGGCTGAGAAAAGAATGAAAAAAAATAGTCAAAGGAGAATTAAAAGGCTCTCTCCAAATAATCTATTTCAAAAGAAAGTACTATTTTTAAGATTTCACAGTTACCCACTCCAAACCAAAACCTAAACCATGCTCAAAGAAGGAAAGAGAAGAAATAAAAATTAGACCACAATACAAATTTTGTATTTTCCCTTCAAAGTAGCATGAAATAAACACAACTATGTAACTCTTCGGAGCCTGGTATAGTGGTTCAAGAGCTCGGCTGCTAACCGAAACGTCAGCAATTCCAATCCACCAGCTGTACCTTGGAAACCCTATGGGGCAGTTCTAGTCTGTCCTATAGGGTGGGTACCTACGAGCTGGAATCATCTCCATGGCAACGGGGTTGGTTTTGGTTTATGTACATCTTCACAAAGGACAGTGTAATTTCCAGAAAACCTACCAGGGCCATGAAAACAATGCAGGCAGGTGCAGGCCAGAACACCTACGTACATTCTGGAAGGTCACCAGGTTTTAGGTGTACCTCTTCCAGATAACCTAATTTAATAAAATCTAAATTTACAGACCAGATAAACCAGAGGAACAAAGAGGTGACCAAGTTCATTACGAAGGATCCTTGCTTTAAAAGAAGAGTTTATAAGATGGCTCCTTTCAAAAGAAACAATGGACTTGTGTATGCACAAGTGATTTAACAGTGGTTCTAAGAAAGGAGGGAGGGGACAATTCCACTTATGTTTCATTACACTTTACACATTTCTATTTGGCTGATTTTTTTTTAACAGTATAACTACATATTTTTATAATCAGAAAGAAATTATATATGTTTCCATTTTGAAAAAAAACTCTTAATTTGTTTCACATATAATAGGACATACACAAAAGCTAACTTGCTGTGACTTTGCAGGATCACATAACTTCTAAGAAGTGGGCTAATAATTTGGTGTTCACAATGCTTCAATAATCTCACCATCTAGCCACGCCCCTCTCAAATATTTTGTCTCTCCACACTAAGTTCAAACATTCTTAAACTTCAGACTAGTCACTTAGCCACACCACGGCCACAGTACGGACATGCGCCACATAACATCCATTTGGAGAATGTCCCACTCCGGTACGCCAGCCCTTGGTCTGCCGCTCGCCCTGTGTAGCAAGCCCACCCCGCCGCCCCCCACCTGCGAGAACAGGCGCCACTGCCGCGGGGAGGAGTGGTCTCCAGATCCTGCTCCTATGCGCCCAAGGTCTACAGGCATCACAGGACCAGCTGGGGCGGAGGCGCAGCGTCGCCCAGACCACTTCCCCTGCTGCCCCGCCCTCGTTGGAGCCTCCCCACCGTGACCTTCACGGGGTTGTGGGGCCGCGTGCCAAACTGGCTGAGCACTCACCTGAGGTGTCCACAGGGGGAGCTGCCCAGGCCACAGACCCCACAGCAGCGTGCGCCAGGGAGCCCCATGCCCTGTAGATCCAGGTGTTCACACAACATTCAAATCACATAACTATTTCACAGAATGTATTGTGGATGTTATGAGTCGGAAATCAAGTCAACAGCAACAAGTTTGATTTTTTTTTTTATTATTGTGGATGTTAAACGAGGCATGCCTATAGTTTTGACTCCTATTTCCTTTACTTCATACAGCTAATTTGTAATGCTCCTCTCACCATCTGGGAGTCCCCTTCAGCTTCCTCAGTCCTCTTCTTTGCAAAGCTATTCCTTCACTTACACCCAGGCTTTTGAGATAAGCATGCTCAAATAGCTCAGGTACCAAGGAGCTCTCTGCAAATATAGCAGGTAGATTCACTAATGATTCATTGGGTAGCAGAGACCTTCACGGAGGCTGAAACTATCCTTGCTAACTGCAGCCTTTAATTTCCCACATCAAGAGACTCAAGCAGAATAAAATACTAATAGAAAAAAATTTAAAAATTAAAAAAGAATTATAGCAGTGTCACCAATTCTAGCTTACCCAAGCAACTCCCTCCCAGTGTCCCTTTCTAATTTTGTCTTTCACTTTGTGGTGACCCTCAATGGCTCCAACAGGCACAGAACTGAAGCATGCTTTATTTACTTTTTGGTTCTAACACCTTCCAAAAAGGCGGGGCAAAGTAAATCCATACTAAATGAGAGGCTTCCAGAGGCTGAGCTATTTATTTTCTGTAGATGATGGTCCTCAACCACAGGAAGAATTTGGCTCCTTAACCACTTGACTCCAATTCTCCGAAATGAAGTGGTAAGTAACCAAAGCCAAAGACTCCCTGACATTCCAGTAAATGTCCTTATGTTCACAGGCACATTCTATGACTCCAATGGTTGACTTTCACAGAAATAAAACATGGTGGAAAATGAGCTGCCCAGCAAGGCTTGAGGCTTCTGCTCTGCTCCCCATTTTTTTTTAAGAGAGTGAATCCTAGAAACAGTGATAGAGTGGTAAATCCTAAAACTAAAACCCTGAAAATGCCAACTTCATCCTCACCACCCTCCATCCCCGACCACCCAGAGAACTCCTGATAATAACATTTATTGTACCAGGCACTATCTTAAGCACTTCGCATGTATTATTAACTCATTTAATTTTCACAATATCCTTTGCATTAGGTCCATCACTATGCCCATTTCACAGATGAGGAAGAGAGGCACAGAAGGTCAGAAGCTGAAAAGTGGCAGAACCGGGCAGTCTTGCCCTAGAGTCTGCTCTATGGTACTCTCCCACACAGAAGCCTTTTTGTGAGTTTGTGAGTTCAGAAACAAAACATCAGAATGTGGTACCACATCTGAAATTTCAGAATGAAGACCAGACATTCCTGTAGCAAAAGAAATGCTAAACTAAAGGTACATGACCCAGAGTGCCTCTCAGGGGCAGAAGTCTCACCATGATCAACTGTACACAGCTTCAGGATGGCCAGGTATTGAAAACACTCCACCCCAGGAAAGACAGCAGGGAACCGTAATGCTAGTCGCGGTGTGGATGCTATTTGCCCACTTAATTCTCTGGACACTTAAGAGTCTCATTTTCTCCTCCCGAATAACCATTAAGAGCAGCACAAATGGCAGAGCCACTCACATGTGTGAAAAGTTTCACCACACCTTTGTGATGAGATGCTCAAGCTCCCTTATGGAGCTTTTCTTTTATTTTGTGTTGCCTTTTGTAGCAAACACACATTTCTAGCATTAAAGTTCATTAGTGGTTATTGATATTTTTGCTGAAGATCATTCAAAAGTGGTTGCAGCAGTACAAGAGGGAACTGCCAGAAATTCAAGCCAGATTCAGAAGAGGATGTGGAACAAGGAGTATCACTGCAGATGTCAGATGGATCTTGTCTGAAAGCACAGAATACCAGAAAGATGTTTACCTGTGTTTTATTGACTATGCAAAGGCATTCGACTGTGTGGATCATAACAAATTATGGATAACAATGCGAAGAATGGGAATTCCAGAGCACTTAATTGTGCTCATGCGGAACCTGTACATAGACCGAGAGGCAGTCATCTGAACAGAGCAAGGGGATACTGCATGGTTTCAAATCAAGAAAGGTATGTATCAGGGTTGTACCCTTTCACCATACTTATTCAATCTGTATGCTAAGCAAATAATCCGAGAAGCTGGAATATATGAAGAAGAATGAGGCATCAGGATTACAGGAAGACCTATTAACAACTTGTGATATGCAGGTGACACAACCTTGCTTGCTGAAAGTGAAGAGGACTTGAAGCACTTACTGATAAAGATCAGAGACTGCAGCCTTCAGTATGGATTACATCTGTACTTAAAGAAAACAAAACTCCTCACAACTGGACCAATCAGCAACATCATGATAAACGGAGAAAAGATTGAAGTTGTCAAGGATTTCATTTTACTTGGATCCACAATCAACGCCCATGGAAGCAGGAATCAGGAAATCAAAAGACATATTGCATTGGGCAAATTGGCTACAAAAAACTCTTTAAAGTGTTAAAAAGCAAAGATGTCACTTTGAGGACTAAGGTGTGCCTGACCCAAACCATGATATTTTCAATCGCCTCAGATGCATGCAAAAGCTGGACAATGAATAAGGAAGACCAAAGAAGAACTGATGGCTTTGAAATTATGGTGTTGACAAAGAATACTGAATATACCATAGACTGCCGGAAAAACAAACAAGTCTGTCTTGGAAGAAATATAGCCCGAGTGCTGCTTGGAAGCGAGGATGGGGAGACTTCATCTCACATACTTTGGATATGTTATCAGGAGAGGCCAGTCCCTGGAGAAGGACAACATGCTTGGTAAAGTAGAGGGTCAGTGAAAAAGAGGAAGACCCTCAATGAGATGGATTGACACAGTGGCTGCAATGATGGGCTCAAGCATAACAATGATTGTGAGGATGGCTCAGGACCAGGCAGTGTTTTGTTCTGTTGTACGTAGGCTGGCTATGAGTCAGAACGGACTCAATGGCACCTAACAACAACATGTTATATAATCTA